CTGAAAAGTTGCTGCAGTTCTGCCTTTTGCCCACCAGAGGGTGTTGTGCCAATAGAACACAGCAGCAGCTCCCATCCAGCTAGGGAAAAGAGTCTGCAGAGCCTTCTTTGCAGCGGGCCAGGTCAGAAGACGGGCTGTGGAGTGCTGTGGATGAGGAGGGATGAAGGTCAGACTGGGGCTCATAAGGGGTAGTGGGGAAGGACAGACTGGGGCAGAGACTGAATGGGAGTGGAGGCATAGGGCCATGGTGGGAGGGCCACATGGTGATGGGGGAGGGGGTGCAGAGCTACATAGGGCCAGAGAGTGGGGCTGGGTCGGGGTACAGACAGATAGGGATGGGGGAGTGGGTGTCTGAGTGAGGGTGGAGGGACACATGTGCCTGACTGAATCTGAGAGGCTAGGGGTCAGCCAGGGTCTGCATGGGGGAAGCTCCCCAACAGTCCCTCCCTACCCCCAAAAAACCTGTTCCATACATTTCCCACCCATACCCGAAAACCCTCCAAGTTCACAGCCAGGCTCCTTCCCAGCAATTTATTTCCCTCTCTCAGCTCCTCCGTTACCCGGCCTTGCACTGCTTCTGGGGGTGTGTGGGAAATAAGTTTCTGCATTGTAGTTTAAATGAATTATTACCCAAAGTACTGAATGAATACGCCTAATAAGGAATCTATTTGTCAAACATTTTCTGAATTTTTTGTTGTCTGTATTGTTAGACATACTTGCTGACACATTTTGAAATAAATGACCAAAAATAATTAACGTAAGAACAGCCAGACTAGGTCAGAACAAAGGTCCATCTAGCCCAGTATCCTGTCTTCCGACAGTGCCGATGCCAGGTGCCCCAGAGGGAATGAACAGGTAATCATCAAGTGATCCATTCCCAGCTTCTGGCAAACAGAGGCAAGGGACTCCATCCTGGCTAACAGCCACTGATGGACCTATCCTCCATGAATTGAAACTGGTGTGATTATATTAGGTAAAATATTACATCTGATTACACAAGTTCTCTAATGCAGCCAGATATTTCTTAAAAACAGAAGAGCTTTTTGGAGACCAGACAAAAAGGTGACATGGCACCAGGCCATGACAGTAGATGCAGACTGAATTTTACATCAAGAATTGGGATTAAACATCCCCCTCACTTTTCTCATGACTATACACCCTCACCAGACACCTTTGAAAAGCCTATTGACTCGTGAAGGCAGTAATCCTGAAGGACCTACCCAGCACTAGAGTAATGGATTGGGTCCGTCACTCCAGGGGAGTTTACCTTTTTTTCTGGCTCGGTCTTCAGATGAGCCACCCCAACAGTCTCTGCCTCCAACTGGTAAGTCAGGGCTAGCACCTGAAGATCTGTGGCTGACAGACTGGGGTAGTCACCCGTCTTCTTTGAAAATTCTGTCACTATAACAAAGGGAAAGTGCCGTCATTGGGTGAATCCAATGGTTAGCAGATACATGGATACTAACGAAATAAGAACTTTCAGAAAAATACAAAATACAGAGGTTGGGTTGGGGTATCTGTATAGGCTGCTTTTTCACTTGAACCATTCCCATCTATTGAGAATTCTTCCCATAGCCCCCATCCTCTTAAGGGCATTTTCTCTTTAAATATCACCCTAAAAGCTTTTCTCGCAGGCCTACAGGTAGCTCTGCGTAAAAGGGTCTGTGCCACTCTATCAAAGAGCATTTATCTGCTGAGCTTAAGAATATTTGGAAAGAATCCAGACGAAGCATCACTTTTCTCTTGAAAAGTGACAGTAAGGTTGTTTTAGGCTCAAGATGTGGGTTTTAGTAGTAATGTGCTAAGCAGATCAAAGACTCCTACAATCGGTCATGCCTCTCCTCATCCATTACTGCCACTACAATCCTTTAGATGTGACAATGATCTCCTCTGTGGAATGTTTGAAATAAATTCCATGAGAATAGTTTTATTTGAATGATAACTTTCTCCCCAAGGGATTTCAACCCAAACACCACAGCCTTGTGCTACTGCATGAGAACTAGGAAGCAAAAGTAATTAGAAACAAAAGTAAAAACTGACTATTTTGCTGTCCTGGGTGGGGTGGGGAGTAGATTAACAGCATGAATGGTGAGAGTATGTTGGGACTCTTAAAATTGTTAGTTTCAATCCCAGGAGCAGGAGTTAAAGGAATGGGGCTTTCCTCCTGACAGTTGCTTTAAGGCTACGGTTAATGGAATCCAGGCACACTTCCTATGACAAAAAAATACCTATTCAGAGAAAAGCTGTACAAGCGCAAGGACAGGCAGGAAGGACACTGAGTTAGGAGAAAGCAGCTAAGCTAACTGCTTAGTCCCCGAGGCCAGCTCGCCTACCTAGTTTAACGTACTCAGGGAAGGGCTGTTTGAAGTGAAGCTGGTAGGGCAGCACGGCCAGTCGCCTCCTGGTTTCCTTGTCCCGGATTTCACTGACCACCTCCTTAATAGTGTAAATGTTTCTACCGAAGTCCTGTTGTATGAAACACACAAGAATTCCTGATATTAGGAACAAACAGACAAATGACTCTGTTTCCAAGGCCAGAAGGCACATGGCGATGCCCATCCCCACAGACAGCATGGTGTGGTTCCAAAGCAGCCCCATACACAGTGCCCATCACCATGGAGCCAGGTGCTGAAACACACCAACCACCCCCTGCCCCACAGATGGGAGAGGGGCTGCCAGGCTAGGGGAAGGCCTGGCTCCCCTGCTCTGTAGCCACTGCCTGAGACAGAAAGACACTGTCTTGGTGGGGCCACTGGATGATCAAGGTACTAAAGTAACAGGCCTTTCTGAAGTGATTAGAAACAAAAGTAAAAACTGACTATTCTGCTGTCCTTAGTGGGGTGGGGAGTAGATTAACAGCATGAATGGTGAGAGCTAAATGAATTATTTGCATCAGCTTTCACTGCAGAGAATGAGGGAGCTTCCCACACCTGAGCCATTTTTTTAGGAGGCAATTCTGAAGAACTATCCCAGACTGAGATGTCATTAGAGGAAGTTTTGGAACAAATTCATAAATTAAACAGTAATAAGTTACCAGAACCAGATGATATTCACCCAAGAGTTCTGAAGAAACTAAAATATGAAATCACAGAACTATTAACTCTGGTATATAACCTATCACTTAAAGCAACATCTGTACAAGATGACTGGAGAATAGGTAATGTGATACCAATTTTTTAAAAAGGCTCCAGAGGCGATCCTGGCAATTACAGGCCAGTAAGCCTAACTTCAGTACCAGGCAACTTGATTGACGCTATAATGAAGAACACAATTATCAGAAACATATATGAACATGATTTGTTGGGGAAGAGTCAACATGCCTTTTGTAAAGAGAAGTCATGCCTCATCAATCTCTTAGGATATGTCTATACTATCGACGGGAAGCGCTTGATCCAGCGGGTGTTGATTTATCGCGTCTAGTCTAGATGTGATAAATCGACCCTCGAGCGCTCTCCTGCTGACTCCTGTACTCCACCACCGCGAGAGACACAGGCAGAGTCGACGGAGAGCGGCAGCAGTCGACTAACCGCAGTGTAGACACAGCAGTGAGTAGGTCTAAGAACGTCGACTTCAGCTACGTTATTCACAACTTCAGTTATTCACGTAGCTGAAGTTGCATAACTTAGATCGATTCGCCCCCTCCCCCCAATGTAGACCAGGCCTCAGAATTCTTTGAGAGGGTCAACAAACATGGGGACAAGGGTGAATAGTGAATATAGTGTACTTTCAGAAAGCCTTTGACAAGGTTTCTCACCAAAGGCTCTTAATAAAATAAGCAGTTATGGGATAAGAGGGAAGGTTCTCTCATGGATCAGTAACTGGTTAAGAAACAAGAAACAAAGGGTAGGAATAAATGGTTGGTTTTCAGAACAGAGATAAGTAAATAGTGGGGTGCCCCAGGGGTCTGTAAAAAGGGATAAACAGTGAGATTGCAAAGTTTGCAGATGACATAAAAATACTCAAGATAGTTAAGTCCACAGCAGACTGCAAAGAGTTACAAAGGGATCTGACTAAACTGGCAACAAAATGGCAGATGAACTTCAGTGTCGATAAATGCAAAGTAATGCACATTGGAAAACATAATCCCAGCTACACATATAAAAAATGGGGTCCAAATTAGCTGTTACCGCTCAAGAAAGAGATCTTGGAGTCTTGAGGGTGGGTCTCTAAAAAAATCCATTCAATGTGCAGCGGCAGTCAAAAAAGCGAACAGAGTGTTGGGAATCATTAGGAAAGGGATGGATAAGACAGAAAATATCCTATTGTTGCTCTATAAATCCATGGTGCGGCCACACCTTGACTACTGCGTACAGATGTGGTCGCCCCATCCCAGCTGTGTTGGAATTGGAAAAGGTTCAGAAAAGGGCCACAAAAGCGGATTACGGCGGGGAGGCGAGGTGAAGAGCGCTGGGCCGGGCCTGGCCCGGCTGGAAAGGAGACAACCCCGGGGGATGTGACCGAGAGCGGTAAGGCCGGGACCGGGGAGGGTTCCTGACCCCTTCCCCCTGGGGAGCCCCTCGCCGGGGTGCTGCGAAGGCGGGAAGTGAAGCTGGGCTCGGAAGAACGAGGAGGCTCCAGGGAGGGCCCCAGGGCTCCTGGCTGTGCTGCGGGCACTGACTGACCCGGCTCCCGAGGCCTGGGCCCGGAAAGGAGCTCGGTAAGTTCCCGGGCCTGGGCCCGCCCCGGCGCTGGTACCCCCAGGCTCCGCACGGCAGGGCCCGGACACGGGGGCCTGGGTCTGACCCAGCCCGGCCGTTCCCGCCTCCAGTAAGGCCCGGCTCGGGGCGAGCGTCCCGCAGGCCCCGCCGCGCCGCTGGTACCTGGAGCGGCGCCCCGCGCAGAAAGGCCCCGGCATCCGCCACGACGTGCTCCACCGCCGCCATCTTTCCCTCGCGGAGCGCGCAGCCCTGCCCCACGGCATGCCGGGAGCGGTAGTTTTTGCGGGGCCGCGGTGCATGCTGGGACAGGCGCAGTTTCGTTGCCATGGTGCACGCCGGAAGCGATGGTTCTCGCAGGCCCCGTACGCAGCTGCCCCGTGACACATTTCCGGGCTCCGAGTCAGGTGGGGAGCCGGTGTCACATGATCGCGATCGCAGGAGCCGGAAGTGGAGGCGAAGCCGTCGCCGGTAAATACGGAGCGGGCAGCGGCATGGGCCAGCTTGGCTGGCGGGAGGCGGGACCGGGCCTGGGGGGGCTCGCTCCGGCCGGCCGGGCACACGGGAGGGGGCAGCCCGACTCCCCGCCCACGGGCCTCCTGCTCCGGGAGTGTCGGGCCCGGGCCGGCCGAGGCGCCCCGCTGGGGACGGAGGGAGCCGGGCGGAGAGCCCAGCCCAGCCCAGCCCGCTGTAGGGCCGAGCCAGGGGCTGCTAACCCGGCTGTCCTGGGCCGCACCGGCTAGTAGTCGGCGGCCAAGGCCGAATCCCGGGCGCCCCGGCGGGGGCAGAGCGACTTCCGCTACCTCCGGTGCGATGGGGGCGGCTCTGCTACCCCCCATGGCCACGGCGCGGGGGGTGGGGGGAAGGCCTCGTCCCTTGTTCTCCCCCCCCACTGCAGCCTGGGGCTCCTCGGGGCTGCTGAACCGGGGGTTTCCCTGTTGGGTTTTGTGGGGTGCCCCCTCCCGCCCGGCTGGAGAGTCTCCGCGAGTCTTGGCGTCTGTGCCAGGCTATGGGGCGTCTGTGCCTTGCTAGGCAGGCTGGGTCCCAGCCCTTTGCTGAAGGAATGGATGGGCTTATAGAGAGTCTCCTACCCGGTCTCAGGTAGGACGTGAAAAGGAGCGTCCTGGTGTCTGAGCTCCGTGGGGATAAAGTAGCGTTTACACCTGACACCACCTGAGTGAGGCAGGTCTCCTTCGAAAGCTTTAGTCTGACTAGGGCACAAAGAGGCAGCTTGGCATCAGCATGTTGTATCGATGTCTCAGCCTCATGGCCTCTCCATCTCCTTGAATCTCAGCTGGGTGCTCCTTTCCCTCTCCCCTTGCTGGCTTTCCCTCTGTTTCTCTGTGGTAGGCGGCTCTCTATCCCACCCCAAAAGCAAATTACTCATCTGTCACCTCACCTGCCACTTGCTTTTCCTAGTTAGTATGCATAGGTGCTAATTTTGCCAAATTAGGCTCTGCCACGCTGGTTAGCCCCTTTTCCCAAATATTATGCTTGATCTGTTGCTGAGTTTCATTCCTGGCTCACATTCTATCTGTCTTTGGCCAGGGTAGCATTAGTTGGGAAGGAGTCTCCTGTTACTCTGACCTCGGCTCCTCCTTGAGAGAGTCACAGTCCTAAACAATAGATGGTGCTGGTTCAACATGTGCACGAGTGAGTGGCTGGTAACTGGCAGCTTTGCAGTTCCTCTGTACCCAGATGGGAGCTGAGCGGGCTGCCTGCCAACTTCTGTCCTTCTTTGAGGCTAAGAGCCAGTGGGCGCCTCTTTTCAGCACTCATATGGCAGCAGACTGGGGGGAGGTAGCAGAAAAATAACTTGTTAACGTCTTTCTCGCTTATGGGCACAATTTAAGAATATACGAATAGCCACACTGCATCAGACCAATGGTCAGTCTAGCCCAGTATCCTGTCTCTGACAGTATCAGTGTTTCAGGTCATGTACCTTATAGGGCAGTTGGATCCACCCCTGTATTCCCCTCCTAGCTTCTGGCAGTCAGGGCTTTAGGCTTGCCCCAAGCATGGGGTTGCATTCCTCACCATCTTGGGAAATAGCCATTGATGGACCTTTTGTCCCTGAACTTATCTAGTTCTTTTTTGAACCCTGTTATATTTTCATTGCCAGAGGATGTTGTGATGGCCAAGTTCCAAAGTTAATTGTGTGTTGTGTGCAAAAATATGTTCTCTGGTTTATATTAAACCTGCTGCCTATTATTTTCATTGGGTGACCCCCAATGAAAATAATAGGTTTTTCTATTGTGGGAGAGGGTAAATAACACTTCTCCCCCCCCCCCTTCATGATTTGATAGGTCTGTATCCTGTCCCCCTTAGCCATCTCATTTCTAAGATGAACAGCACTCATCTCTCTAATCCAGGGGTAGGCAACCTATGGCACGCGTGCCGAAGGCAGCACACAAGCTGATTTTCAGTGGGACTCGCACTGCCTGGGTCCTGGCCACCGGTCCAGGGGACTCTGCATTTTAATTTAATTTTAAGTGAAGCATCTTAATAAGGTTTTTTAAAATGTTTTACTTTACATACAACAATAGTTAAGTTACATATTATATACTTATAGAAAGAGACCTTCTAAAAGTGTTGAAATGTATTACTGGCACGCGAAACCTTAAATTAGAGTGAATAAATGAAGACTCGGCACACCACTTCTGAAAGGTTGCAGACCCCTGCTCTAATCTTTCCTTGTATGGAAACCATTCCATAGCCTTGAACTTCTTTATTGCCCTTCTCTGAACCTTGTCCAGTTCCACTATATCCTTTTTGGGCTGGGGTGACCAGAACTGGGCAGAGTATTTAAGTATTCTAAATCTACAGATAGTTCCATGGCTGCTTCTCCGAGCTTCCACAGGAGTGGATTGAGTCCTGATTCATCTTCTCTGTTTGCAGCGTTGCTGTTCCAAAACCCTGGGGACAGCAATGAAATTGACACAAGGGGGTCAATTTAATTCTGCTGTTCCTTGGGGAAAGTGCTAAGCAGCAAAGGCAGGCATTGGAGCTGTCTTCTGGAGGTGGAGGGGAGATGCAGCTGGAAGCTGGGGGAGAGGTGGTGCAGCAGATATTCTTTGCCCCTCCCCCATTGCAGTAGCCAGGCAGCTTTTGAGTTGTGGTGGGGAGAGGGAAGAAAGGGAGTGAGGCCATCCCTCCTGGAAGCCGGTCAAGGTTTCAGGTGTGTGACACTTCATTTACTTCAAAGCCAGAAGCTGATCCGATTCCAGCCCTGCAGTATGTTGTACATGTGCCCTGGGCAGGGCCTGTGTATTCTGTGGCCATGGAATTTGTTGCAGGCACCACACCCTGCCCCAGCATGTGCTCCAGAGTCTGACTTCAATTTGCAAACCTCTTTAGCCCCTCTGGCTGTGAAAAGCAATGCCTGTTGTCTGCAGGCTTGGCAAGTCGGCTTGCATCAGTAGCCTTGAGAGTTGTGAACTGTCCCATTCATATCAACAGTTCATTAGCTTTTAAATCTACCAATGGCACGGTGATGTTTGGCTGTTTCACTGTTAATCACTGCAGCAGAAACATGCTTGTTCCAATGTCACTCACTATCTCAGGTGCCAAAAGCCCCCAGCTTTGCTCTGACATCTCTGGGCACTTACGTGTTCTCAGTAGAAAGCTTTGGTGCATGTTGAAAATGTAGCGGTGGCATAAAAACTACTGAACTTGGTTACCTCAGTAGCTGCATTAATCCAGGTAATGCAATGGAAGAGAGAGGGTCAGGCAGTGCTTACGACTAAGGTGACCAGGTGTCCAGTCAAAAAGGGACCCTGGTGGCTCCATCACCACTGCACACCGGGCCATTAAAAATCCGGTTGGTGGTGCTAAGGCTGGCTAGTCCCTACCTGTCCTGGGGCACCGTGCTATGCCCCAGAAGCGGCTAGTAGGTCTGGCTCCTAGGGTCGGGGGGGGGGGAGGGCATAGGGCTCTGGGGGCGGTGCCTGTGTGTGAGTGGCGCGTGGAGCCCCCTGGCCCCCCTGGCTAGGACCCAGACCTGCTGGCTGCTTTCGGGGCACATGCAGTGCCGGGACAGGCAGGGAGCCTGCCTTAGCCCTGCTGCTGACCGAGGTAAGCCTGTGCCCCAGCCCTGAGCCCCCTGAAACCCAGAGCCCCCTC